TTAACAAGTTAATATTAACACGCATACATATATGTTTTTTATTTTCACATTTAAATAAATTTTAAAATATTTAAATCGTTTAATAAGAATATTAAAAAATGGATGAATTTTGGCGTCCTTTTAACTTTGATCATTATTTAATTAATTCAATAATAATTACTTGAAATTCAGATTCTATTAATAAAATAATTATAATAATATTATATTATTAATTTTAATAATATAAAATTATATTATTATTTTTATTTTTATTAAATTTCGATTATTAGAAACATTTACAGTAATATAATATTGCTTTCGTTATAAAAAAATGTTAATTGATTCAACGAAAAAATTAATTAATTTAATTTTTTTAATTTTTATTAAAATAATTAATTTAATTTTTTAATTACTATTAAATTAATAAATTTAATTTTTTAAATTATTTTAACAAATAAGATTTTAACAAATAAAAATTTAATTACAAACGAAAGTTATAAATTCTAGATTTTCTTTTTATAATTGTTTTTCGTTTCATTAAAATAAAATTTAAATAAATTGTTTCAATATTTCTTTTATGAATGATTTATGAATGATTTAGAATGATAAAGACAATTTAAATGATTGATATAATATAATTTTAAATACTGAAGAATTAAAGTATTAAATTGAAAAATTCTTTTGTTTGAAAATATTGTTTTTTATGTTGCAAATACTATCCTTGTTAAATTTCAAAATGTAAAATGTTAGAAAAAATATAATATGCAAATACTTAAAAATTGTAAAATGTTGAAATATTGTAAATGTTGATTGGAATATTTTAAAATTTAAAAAATTTTAAAATTTAAATAAAAAAATAATTTATACTTATATTTAAAAAAAATTAATTTAAAATAAAAAAAATAATAATAATAAAGAAATGGAAAATAATAGAAATGGAATAAATAAAAGAAATATACAAGAAAAAATAAAGATTAAATAATATATATATATATATATATATATATATATATATATATTATTTATATATTATAATATAATATTCTAATTATTTTTAATTTTTTTTAAACAATTTCGAAATAAAAAATATAATCATTATCAAAAATATATCATTATAAAAAATAAATAAATCATTATAAAAAATATATCATTATAAAAATATAATCATTCGAAATAAAAATAATCATTAAATTTTTATAATATTTAATTTTTTAAATTTCCATTATTTTTGATAAAAAAAATTCTTGTATTTTTAAATAAAATTTAAAAAAGATTAATAAAATATATTTATAATTGTAAAATATTTAGAACTTGTCAATTTAGCAAAAGATATTATATATTATATATTAAAAATTATTATTATATATTAAAAATTTTTTTACATTAGAAAGAAACAATATTAAAAATATTTTTATTTTTTCTTTCTTCATTACATAATTTAAATAAATATTTAAAAATAAAAATGTTGAATATAAAAATAGAATGTTATGGCTAACAGTAATAAAATAACATACACAAAATTCGTTATGCTTTCTTTATTATTCTTATAAAATAAAATTATTGTATAATACAATGTCAATTTCTAATAGTAGTAGAGATTAAAATTGTAAATTATTGTTACTGAAATTTATATATTTCAAATATTGTGTAATGAAAGAAACATTAAATTTATAATTATCTAATTATTGAAATTATATAAAATTAAACAAAAATAACAAATTTTTAAATTAATTATTATCTATCTATTAGATTTATATTAAATTAAAGAAACATATAATATAATTGATACAGAATCTATATATGTATTTAAAAAACGTGTATTTTTTAATAATGTTTCATAATATTACTGACAAGACAAATTATAATACATGTCGTTGAAATTAAACATAATTTTTTTATAACTGCATATTTTTTTCATTTAATTCTATATTACAATTATAATTTATCATAACAAAATAAATAAAATGAATAAAAAAATTATTAATTTTTATGATTATTAAGAAAATAAGAAAGATAAAAATACAATATGTGTGATTTTTTATTTAATTTTATCATATTATAAATCATATTATATAAAGTATTCTTTACAAAAATATGATAATTAAGCAATTAAATTGATTAAAAATATTTTTTTTTAAATAGCAAAATAAATATTTCATTAAAAATATTATATATATATATATATAAAATTCTTTTATGTTTTAATTTATAACTATAATCCTATAAACCTAATATATTTTAAATTATTTTTTTTTCATTTTATACATTTCTCGAATTGTTATTATTAAATATATATATTTTAATAAAAATTAAGAATATTTTTTATACAAAATTTTTTTTAATTTTAAAAAAATCAAGAAAGATTTTGAACGATACAAAAAAAATTCAAAAAAATAATAATTTCTTGAATATTTATATTAAGAATTATAAATATTTATATTTTTGAATTATTATAAATATTCAAATAGTCAAAATTATATTTTATGTATGTATATACATCCTAAAGATATTAATTTAAAATTCTTTAAGATTCTTTAATTATGATAAATTAAAAAATATATATTTTATATGCAATTAAATGGAATCAAAGGACAAATTAAAGATTTTTTTTCTATTTTTTGAAGTCATTAATATTTTTTTACATGATATATATTTGTTTTTCTTATATTTTAATTCAAATGCATTCAAAGATGCTTAATTAGATAATTTTAATGTAATAATGATTTAAATTAAACATATGTGTTTCTATTAAGATCAAAATTTTTACGGGCGAAAATGTGCGAGTATAAATAAATAAGTTAAGAGTTTAATAAGAATTAAATAAGAGTTTAAAAAATCTGATTATTTTCTAATAACTCATTATTATAATAATAAGCTACCCATAATAAATTATTCGAAACAAAAAAAAGAAGTTTTTTCTTACAAAGAAAATATTTATAACAAATATAACAAATCTGCAATGCCAAAAGCATAAAAAAAAAATAATTAAAATTTGTATATATAATTATATATCAGAAGATCATTATTATTAATCGATTATTATTTATTTTAGTAATATATATAAAAGATCATTATTATTGATCGATTGTTATTTATTTCAATAATATATAGCTATGAAAGATCATGATTTTAAATATATTAAATTAAATTATTAAATTATTAAATTATATTTAAATAATTAAAAAAAGTAATTATATAATTAAAAAATATATAATAATAATTAAAAAATAATAAAATTAAATAATTAAAAAAAGTATATAATAGAATGTATATATACATATATAAATATATAATAAATATATATATAATAAATGCCTTATAAAAAAAAAATTTATAACAATGAAATTTTCTAGAACATATTTATATATTTATATTCGTAAATTTACATCCGTCGATACCTAAAATTTATGATCTTGATAATATAAATAATAAATCTTAATTTTGAGAGTTAAGAGATACTTCAAGGTTGTGTAGTTATAAATCTATAAATATATTTAATGTTATATAAAATATGAAGAAAAAATATATATATATGCATGTAAAAAAAAAAATGTCAATAATATTGAAAACAATAGAGAGAAAAAAATGACTATCACAAAAATATTTTTTTATAATGTATTCATCCTTTAATATAGTTCTATATTGCATAAAATATTTTTTTATATCATCATAATTGATGGAGTTTATTTAAGTTTATTTTAATTATTTTATTAAATAAATATATAATAATAATATAATAGAAAACTTTAATCATTCTCAATTTACTTATAATAATANTTAAGATCTTTTTTTTGAAAACATTTATTTTTACAAGAAATCTAAGATATTTTATAATTTCTATTGTATGAAGAAAATATATAAAATTATAAAATAAAACAAATACTGTATAAAGAAATCAGTTATATTAATAAATATTGAAAATATTATAATAAATTTATTATAAGTATTTTGTTATTAAAACTATATATAAGATATAAGTAATATTATTAAATTTTAATTCATAGTATTTATCACAAAGAATTTATACTCTTTTTAAAATTTATAATCTTATTATAAATACAAAATAATTACATTAATTTATGAAATATTTTATTTTATTTGAAAAATTTTATTTATTAATTTAAATATTTTTTGTAATTAATCTATTCATATTTTTTATTAATATATAATAACATATAATTTTGTTGTTTGTAATCTAAAAATCTATTTACATATTGAAATAATATTAATTAAATGCAAATAATATTACATAATTTCTGGATTTTTTATTTTAGAAAAAAAATAACTTTTAAGAGTATTTAATATTATTAATCAATTAGTATTACTTTTTCAAATATAGAACACAATATTTTTATATAAAAATAATATTTAAATTAATTTCAATTTTAATTTAAAAATCAGGATACAATACAATAACAATAACACTGTTCTTATTAGTATCTTAATTTATATTAATTTATTAAACTTCTATAAATACATAATTCGAATATTTTTTTCAATTTTTTAAATTTGTTCACTTTAAAACTGATTGACAATAAAACTGAAGAAAAAAAAAATAGAAGGAAAGAAAGAAAAACTTAGCAAAAAAGGAAAGAACAAAACTATTCAAACATCGCAACTGTCATTGCCATCTCCTTCTCTACGCAGATTCATTTTTTCCATAAATGTCCGAAAGAAATCAGAAAGGCATAGATCCACGAAAATTTCGATTGATGAACAAATATTTGAATTAAATCTTGGGATTTAATAAAAAATGAGTGATCAAGAGAAAGTCGAACAGAGACCATGACCGATCAGCTGATTCCTTTGTTTAGGTCGCTGACACACGCGAAACGGAGCTCTGCCATTTTCAATCGATATTATAGCTCCGTCAACGATTCGTCCGTATCGAGTAAGAATCGAATCCTATTGGCCGGAATCATTCCTCGATCCTTCATTTCGGAGAACATTAAAAATCATCCGCGAGAATTCTCTGAATAGCAGAAAAATAGTTGAGAAAGATTAAGACTAATCAAACGTACCTTTGTAGTGAACACGAAGATTGTTTTGGGAGAGGCCGATGTAATTGTATTTGTCCTTTGGACTCCACGAGCGTGGTAGTGGCGTTTCCTCTTCATTTACCATCGGATAGAGCATTTTTAGAGGATCAACGGGCTGATTTTGCCCGGAATTCGTCTGAGAAGGCTCCATAACACTCGGTTCCTCGCTGGTGGCGGCCATCTTTCTCTTGGGCAGCCCCACTACTTTCGCCAGTGGACTATGCTTAACTGACTGCGCAACAGTCCTGCGCAACGGTCCTGCGCAACTCAACTTTACCTTCTGTTCATGAAGTGTATAATATATAGATAATATACTTTTTAAAAGAATTTTGAATATATATATGCTAAACACACACAATATAATCTTATGTCAAATATCATATAAATATATGTATATAAATATATTAATATTAATATTAAATAAAAATTACAAAAAAAAGAAAAAAAGAATAGAAAAAATATTAAATTTGTAAATTTGTATAATAATTTTTATAATATATTCTAATAATTAAATATAATAAATGTTTATTATTTTATTATTACATTCATATACAATTCATTTACTTTATATAATTTTATGCTTTTTTTTAAAATATTTATCTATATCTTCCTATTATACTATAATATTGTATTATAGTTTTTATTTATTTTAGATATAAATTATAATGAGATTTTGGCATCAATGATTTAATCAATCAAGTTACTAGAAATTACTAGTTTCGAACTTTCACATTAGTTTTAGGAAATATTTGCTTTCAGCGATACGTTGTCATAATAAATCACATAAAAAGTAAAATATAGTATAATGATATAATTATAATTTAATGCAATAGTGTTGATAATATAGTACAAGTATTATTTTTTTTATATTTATATTAATTATTTAATATATTTTCTCTTTTCTCTTTTTGTATAATATAATTGTTAATAAAAATTAAAATCAAAAATTTTTATTTTGGATTTTTTATTTGAATTTTTTATATTATGTATAATAATTTATATAATATAAATGTATAATAATTTATATAATATAAATGTATAATAATTTATATAATTTATATAATATATATAATTTATATTATGTATAATAATAGTAAAACTATTATTTAACCTAGAACAAAGAACATTAAAGTTTATTTAAAGTTATTTTATTTATTTTTTAAATAGTTACCTGAAAACAAATATTTCTATAAATTATAACTATAAAGAATATAACTATAATTAAAATAATAAATAAAAACAAAATATAATTAATAAATACAAAATAAAAATTGTATTTATGAATTCTTTTTATGTGTGAACATATGTATATATATTGATCATTTGCTACATTTTTGATTTTTAATTACTAATTTTTTATTAATTTAAATTATATTAAAATAAAATTAATAAAATTGATATTAATAAAAATTATACAAATTTTTGATAAACCTAAATTATTATGAAAAATTTCTCTTAATGTTCGTGGATACTTCAAAAATTAGGATGAAATATAGAAAAATTCAAATGGATTGTAATTCTAATAATAACATTACTAGTATTATTGCTACTGCTATTATTTTACATATAATATTTATGTTTTCCTTAATTAAAATTTTATATATTAAATATATCACAATAATATCATAATTTAACAAGAAAAATTAAAATGATACTTCAAAATTAAACAGTTATATTTTCATTTTTATGTTTCAAAAACTAAAAATGGATAATAATGCATATTTTTTAAAAAATTGATTTCTTATAAAATATTTTAAATATTGATAAAAATATTATAAAATATAAAAAAGTTATAATTTTTAATAATTTAATTGTAAACATTTTATGTACATGTCCAAAACTCATAGGAAATGCGATATTTTATCTTTTTCTCAATTGATTTATTTCTTAAATACTATATTATTATAAATGAAAGATCTTAGAGAATATAGAAAATAAATTTTTAAAAATGATTATATTAATTAAGCTCTTAATTTTAAAAAAATTATAAAATTTAGATTTAATTATAAATTTTTTTAGTTTTAATAAATTATTGATGAAAAAAAATTATAATTTTAGAATATTGCGATATTAAATTAATAGTTTTTAAAATTTATTTTTATAATATAAATGGTGATAATATTTTAATAATATTGTAATAAATGCTTAAATATTTAATTAATAATGAAATGAAAATAGAAATTTTTCATTTAAATAATGAAATTTTGTTAACAATTAAAAATAATATTAGAAATATATATATATATATATATATACTTCAAANTCTGTAATATATCTAATGATATAATTAACAAAATCTTCACAAGAATTCAACAATATAAATATAAAATTGCATATAATATTGCAAAATCTATTAAATTTAAATGCAATAAAAATCTTAAAATAATAATAAAAAAAATAGAAATAAAAAATGTAAAAATATAAATATAGATAATATATATGTATAACATGTAATCATATATATGTATAACATGTAATCATGTAATATATATAGATTTATTATATTATAAATATTATATAATAGATATATATATAAATTTTGATTTTAAATTTTAAAAAATTTAATTTTTTTTTTAATTCTAAGAAAAAATAGTAATTTTATTAATTTATGTAACTTCATAATTACAACAGAGATTAGGTTTTAAATATAAATTTAAATAATTTAAAAAATTTAAAAATTTAAATAAAAATATATTTCTAATCTAAATGAATTTACAAAAATCATTTTAGTCTTTTTATATCATTGTATGCTTTTGAAAATTTTTTATTATTTGATTGAAATTATCAAATTATTGCTTATTTATAATATTGCTGAGGGATAAATGATACTAATTAATCTGCCATACCAATTAATCTGTTATCAATAAAATTACTGATTTCACTTTAAAAATATAAACTTTAAATTATTTATATTAAAAAATTTATAATTGACAAAAATTATATTATTACTTATATATTTTTTCTAATTTTTCTTAATCTTACAAATCTTTTTTTTTATTATTTGATTTTTATAATATTTGATTTACAATATCATATAATAAAAAAATAACATAATTAGTTAAATTTGAAAAAATTGTTTTCACAACTTTCTTTGATAATTAATAAAATTAATTAATAAAAATTATTGAAATTAATCAATTTTAATAATTTATGCAATATTTATAAATCAAAAAATCAATATTTATAAATTATATTTCAGTATTCTTGAAAGATAAAATTTTAATTTTTAAAATATCTTTTATTAATAAGAATATTGAAAAAATTTTATTATAATAATATAACTTATTTTTTAAAAATGTAAAAATTGATAAAATATTATGAATAATAAAAGTAATATAAAATTATAAAAATATGTACATAAAAATAATATAAAGTATTATAAAAATAAAATAATTAATTTATTAAAAAATAATTTAATAAATATAATAATAAATAAAATAATTTAATATAATAATTATTTATTTAAAAAATTAAATCAATTTGAAATCAGAATTTTAAATGAAATATTAAAATCCATTAAATATTTTAAAATTTTCTAATATGGTTAAATCTTTTTGAGAGAATGAAATCCATTCTTAAAATTTTAACAATCTTTCATGTTTTGTATACCTAACGGAATGATAGATTATTAGAAATTAATAAAAAATCTATATTAGCTCCAACTCGTTTTTGGAGCTATGATATACTAATAAAATTAATTACAAAGTTTAATGTAATACTGTTAACAAAGTTCTATTCTGAAATAATCAAAAGCAAAATTTATATGCTAATGAATGTTTACGTTTATTACTAAATTCACTAGTTCTGTTCATTCGAGGTTACAAGAGTTTGGAAGATTCTAAGATGTAAAATTCGAAAATTTAAAAAATTTTGATTTTTAATCCTAAAAAGGATTTTAAGATTCAAAAAGTTTCAAGATCAAGAACATTCTATGCTTCTATCTTTAAAACCTTCCATGCTCATTTCACGAGATCGCAGATCTTTGGTGGGATATACAAGCGGTCAATAATATCGTGGACCATTTCCAATCGAGGAAAAATTTTAGAATTAAAATGAGGGGTTATGCTATTCGTAAAATCCGCTATTCATAGAAAACTGATTCGTGAATGTAATAATTCTTCTCAAATAGGATGATATCGATTGCCATTGAAATTGACATGAATGAAAAATATTTCAAATCCTAAGATCATATTCACATTTAAAGTGTTTCTAACAAATATATACTTCTAAAGATCTTCTCAAAAACAGCATTATTCTCACAACATAATCTTAATCTTAATAATTTTGTGTCATCTGTTCAATGTCTCAACATATTGTCCGTCTTGAATATATTGCGTTCAATTATATATACAGTTCAAATTGATAGTCCGATAAGTACGTGAAATCATTTCATACAATACAATACAAATTATAATAAATATAAAATTCTAGAACTAAATAGTTCATAATTACATTGATTAAAATTAATTAATACATGTAGGACAGTCATTTATGTCATAAAAGATCGTAGAATATCATAATCCAATAATATATGAAATTAATAAAATATAAATAAATATAAAAAAATATAATAAATACGTAATAGATAAATACATAAATAGATAAATTCTACTATATTAATTATATTAAAAAATAATATATTATATTTTATTAAATATAATATATTAATATTATAAAATAATTATATTAATTTAATTATATTAAAAATGTTATGAGTCTAAGCTCTCTATTTTTAATGTTTGTGCGTTCTGAAGTGATGCAGTTGTGATATCTTCATCCAATAGTAGAATATAGACTTCGATTATCTTTTAATTATCCCTTCCAGAATGTAGTTCTAGAATTTGTCTTAATCGCCATTGTACGCTTATCATAATAACCTGATAATCTAATAATCACCAAATTTGGTAGTAGAACCAAATTTGCTATTGTCTACTATTTACCATTGTCTTTTATTGCGTTGTTGTAGTTAATGCAAGTATCCATTCTGTCATTGCCTTCAAAAATGTTGTACACTCTGCTGCATTATCTAGAATTTGTTTTATTCTTTGTTAGATTTTGCAGATCAAATTCAAGACACAAAGTGAAATACTGACAAGAAAATGAAAGGAGTTAGATCATCGAGATCGGATGATAAGGAATTTAGAGAGGGAGAATTAAGGATTGCTTATACTTGTATCAAGAAAGTATATAATTCCTCATATCATATCCCCGATAATCCGCTTCAAATGTGATTTCGCCGATTTTATAACATTCTCTCATAAGTCTCCAAAATGAGATATATGAGGAGAAATCA